ATAGGATTTTATCATTTTAAATTTTAAAGCCCTTTTAAAATTCACCAAGAAAGGACATAACTTTTAATCATCATTCAATTCATTCCACATTTTCACACCAATAACTGAAACACATCTAGACTTTATCTGGCTCTTCTCTTTTGCACATTCAAATATAAACAAACCTCGCAAATTATATTTATTCTCTCTTAACTTAAATAATTTCTGAATAACAGCTGTGCTGCTGCCATCAACACCTTTGTTTATAGATGTGGCCTTTTTCAGTGTAGTCCTGTTTCTCTGACTGTGACTGGCTGGATGTGCTCTCTTCATCCTCTGATGTTTATTTAAGTTTATTTCTATAGCGCCAATTCACAACATGTCATCTCCAGGCACTTTCCAGTTCACCAGGTGATCCAGTCAAATTGATTCAAAGTTTTCTATCTAAGGAAAACCAGTTAATTGCATCGACTCATCGACTGGTTCTGCTGGATTTTTCTTCTTGTTAAAAGGGAGTTTTTCCTCTCCACTGTCGCTACAAGCATGTGACACCATCCGGTTCAGTTTTGCGTGCCATTTACACTCAACAGTTATTTCAGTTACCATTATACAACTACACGACTATATCTGTTTAAATGACTTATGATAAATTGGGAATTTTCAGAATTTCTTGTTTTATTGGGTCATGACTAGTGTTGCAGCCCTGATACCGATACCCGATACCTGGCTGTGCAGTATCGGCCGATATCAATACCATCTGTTTGAAATTGATGTGTGTGTATCTATGAAGAGCTGCAGACTACTTGGATGTAGAATAATTGCCATCATGGTTTCGTCAAGCTGCTGCCTACCTTTGAGAAGCAGGAAAAAGACTAATACAAAGTGAATCCAGTAGAACTTTTTATTTCCTACCTGGAATGGTTGACAATAGCTGAATAAACTTTTGGCTCTAAACGTGGTGTCGGTGCCCTATTTGTTGGTACTCGCCGATACCGATACCACCATTATCATGCTGGATTGGGGCCCCGCCCAATACTGGTATCGGTATTGGTGCAACACTAGTCCCAACCCCAAACTGAGGACAATAAATTCCT